CTTCTCTGGAGATCTTCCAACCCACCTGGATGCCGCCCTGTGCCCCTGCTCTGGGTGTCCCTGCTGGAGCAGAGGGTTGGACTGGGTGATCCCTAGAGGTCCCTGCCAACCTCAGCCGTTCTGGGATTCTGGGACACTGATAGACCCCTTTGCAGCAGATAAGGCAACCTGTGCCAGTGAACCAACCCACACCAGTTTGAGACTATAATCAAAATGGGCATTGATGTTGTGGGCCCGTCCACAGCATCATATGAGTGACAAGTAACATCTCAATTACAAAACTGAAACAATAAAACATCAGTAGAAGACAAATGAACCTAATGTGAACCTAAAATGTCTGGAAATGGCAGTTGCCACCAAACAAGGGAACTTCATGGATGGGTTTAATGCTCCCGCTGGTCTCACGGATCCATAGGGAGCGTTGGGAAGTGAGTGCACTATTCCTGCCTTTCGCTGCAGGTGTCCAGGTGTTGTGCCCATGTTTCAAGAAATAGCTTGGAAAAAAATCCCATGGGCATGGAAAACTTTGCAGAAATGGGGAGGAGATGGGAACACCCACCTTCTAGGCCCTGCTTTCAAAGGAGAAGGCTTGTGGGGGTGACACGTCCTTACAAAAGAAACAGCGTCTTGCTCTGCTCACAGCCCTGTGCAAGCTGTGAGCACGAAAAGGCCCTCTCCTGTTCACATTTCTCCTCCAAAGCCCCTCTCCTGTTCACATTTCCCCTCCAAAGCCCCTCTCCTGTTCACATTTCCCCTCCAAAGCTCCTCTCCTGTTCACATTTCTCCTCCAAAGCCCCTCTCCTGTTCACATTTCTCCTCCAAAGCCCCTCTCCTGTTCACATTTCTCCTCCAAAGCTCCTCTCCTGTTCACATTTCTCCTCCAAAGCTCCTCTCCTGCTCACATTTCTCCTCCAAAGCTCCTCTCCTGTTCACATTTCTCCTCCAAAGCACGTTGGAGCAGAGCGTCTCCCAGAAAACGTCCCTTGGATTTGCTCCCCATCACGTTCTCCAAGGCAGCGATTTGAGAAGCGGCTTCATTCAAAAAATTCGCCTGCGGCAAACACTGTCACGGAAAATTTCAGTTTAAACAGCTATAAGTTGGACTAACTTATAAACAAGTGAATACAGGGCTTAAAAGTATTGGCTAACACCTACTGTGGGTGTACTGACAGCTCTGCCTATAGTGGTTTACATTGGTTTTATTGCTAGCTTAGCAAGGAACGGGGTGTCTCAAGGACAAAATATGCTTAATAAATCTGCACGCACTGAAACAAGCAGATCCAGAACCATAAACTCATTAAATATAAGCATTCAGTACATGAACTGATGCTGGAACAGAATTAAGAACTGTTAATTGATAAAAGTTTATTCAGATTAAAAATACGGCTTCTAAGTGCAGTTAACTACACCCCAGGTAACTGCAGTGAGTAAAACTGCAGCAAGTCATTCATTCATGGGAGCAAAACAGGAAAGGAAAAAAAAACGGGTGGCAGTTCAAAGTCACTTGCTGAAAGAATAATAAATAATTTAAATTAAAAAATGTCTTTTGCACTCACTTCCTGCAAAGGCAGCCAAGTATTTGCTATTAATCTAATGGAGCTACTCTTCTCAAACACTGCCTTTTCAGAATGGCTGATCACTACTTGTGAAAAAATAAAGCTGCCCCTGCCTCCCCCTTGTTCCTTGATGGGAAACCAAGAGCTGGGGCAGCCGGACGCGTCCCTCTCTGCAACCCCTTTGCATTGAGGTGCTCCCACTCGCCCTGCGGAGCTCCCGGAGCCTCCCGAGCCCCCTGGCCCACTGCAGCGAGGCCCTTAATAGAAGGGGACACTAATACAATTAACAGAAAGGCCATTTTTGCTGTAACTAAGTTACTAGAACTGCGGTACCCGATAAAGCATACTTGGAATTTCAAGTTCGGCGTGATTTTCCATTTAAGTCCTGTCTCAATGGCATAAGAAAACATTTCAGTAACACAACCTGAGCGTTAAAGTGGTCACACTTGGTTCTTTTTTATTTTGTAAAGTCTGGCATTGCTCCGTTTCGCTACATACTCCACAGCTTCAGGCACTCATCTGCGCCGCTGTGACCGAGTGCTGCAGTTCTGGGTAATATATGTAATTTATCTGGGCTCCATTTCTCGCCCAGACCTCAAGAAATCAGGTGAGACCAATTGCTATATCTGTATTTTTCAGCCTACGCTCCAATGTCATTATTGGGCCGTCTCCTTCCTCGCTGGTAGCCCATGGAGCAAGTCCAAACTTACCCGATCCCGGAGTGATGAGCGGGCCCTCCAGCTCGAGGGCTTCGTCTTCATACTGATCATCCAGCTTTTTCTTTTTCTTCTTGGACGGGTCTCTGGGTTTCCTCAAAAGGGAGAGCTCTTCTGGGTGCCTGATGTCTAGGGACAAAACAGAACAATTTACAGAAGGAAGAAGAAACAAGGAAAGAAAGAAACCCCCCTTTTTTTTAGTAACAACATCCAGTAACTTGCAAAATCTCTGTTGGACAGTTTTCTTGCTCTGCAACTGTCAAAAATAAAGCTGAGAATATCTTTCCCACAAACCCATCTGAGACAATTCTTGCCTGAACATCCCTCTTCTTGAACCCACAGCTGGAGAGGTAACCTTGCTGGCCACGGAAAATTCACCATTATTGGGTATTTTCCAGGAACAGTCACTCAAATGCACACACAAGCACTGCTAGCTGCTGCACCACAGAGACTGGTGGCCTTTCCACACATTATCTTAAATACTATTTTGTTAATGAGCACTTAGATTCCTCCTCAGGCACCTCAGTAATGGGGCAGCTGCTCTCACTTCTGTTGGCCCAGCCCAAGTCTCCAGGTCTTTATTCACCTACCCGAACAGGAGAGTCAGAGGCAAAACTTAAGGCGCTCACTTTTTGAATAGATCTTAGCCAAAGTGTTTCCCTCCTCTTCCCACTTTGCTTCCCCAAACCAGCATAAATAACTTCTAAAATGTGTAATCAAAAAGGAAGAGCAAAATAGACCATTTGTGCTTTTAATCACGGGTCTACCGTGATTTGTTTAGCATGGATAAGGAAAACAAGACATGTGTGAAGACAGGGACAGGGCAGGCACAGCCCAGCGCGTCACCCTGGGAAGCTCCAAACCTGCACGTCGGAGAACTTTGTTTTACAGGGATGTGGCGCTTGGGATTTGCTCATGTCTGTCTACAGCCTCATCCCAACGGGAAAGCTCTCCGAGAAAAGGAGCCCAACATCTACCAGAACGTGGCACAAATCCTTGAGCAGACTGGAGGGGATCCAGGAGTCCCTCGCTGGCACGGAAAGGGGGAAGAAGGGGAGCAGGGAAAGGCTCCGGCTGCTGTACGCGGGACGGGAGCAGCATCCAGCACGGACCTGGAAAAGCGTTCACCTGGGCAAGGAGCCATTCCATTGCAATGGCGAAAGCCACAAAACGCAGGGCTCAGAGCTCCCAAACAGGACACAAATTAGGGTAAAAAAAAAAAAATGGAATTTTGGCCGCGCTGGAGTCTGGAGCGAAGGGTTCAGCACTGCAGCTGGTTGTTGGAAGCCCCTCTGCTGCTTCCCAGCTCCGTTTTCCACATGTTCCCCCTGCAAACACTAAGCTGCGTGGAGATGCACAAAGCTCCCAATTCTGAACGCATCCCGGGGAACCCAGCACTCCTCTCCCACCTGCACACACGTTCCCTGCGTGCAGCTGGAGCTCCCACGGACACTCAACACGTTGCACCGGGACAAACTTGCCCTTCTCAGGCTACCGCTGCCCCCGTCCGTCCTCTCAGGAATCAAATCCCAGGTCTTCCCGCAGCTCCTGACTGCGGGGACAAGCACAAATGTGATGGAAGGAGAGGAAACGATGGAGACGGGACGGGTGGCATTAGAGCCAGAGCCTATTTTCCCACCACGGGGAAGGCTAACGAGACAATGAGTAATTAATCACTGCAGCGGGGAGGGGTTGCATGGCTCGGGTTCTACCCTCTCTCCCCGGGAGGCTGCTCCCGGCCCGGGAACGTAATTAAACGTGGAATTTGCTCCCGCCACGGGATCTAAATGGGACACATGTGCCGTGGCAGCAAGACACACGTGGGCCCTGCACGGGCTCCCTCCAGCACCTCCCTGGACTAGCCGGGAGCAGGGAGCAGAGCCGCTCTCCATTGCCACGAGCCCAAGAACCAGCACGACTCTCCTCAACGGGATTCCCAGCACATTCCAGACAGACCCTTTTTCCAGAGTCCCAGGTGGGTCCCTTCAAGCCCTGCGACTCCCGTGCGAGCAGCGCGGATCCATCTCCTTGGGTCACGGGGGAATCACGCCAATATTCCCAGCCTCGGGAATATCAGCCTTTTTCGGAGATCTGTCCCGGCAGGAAGCAGCTGCACGAGGCGGGCCCGGGAGCGCGCGTCCGACACCGCTAAATCCCAAACTAAACCCAGCCCTAATTGTTTCCACGTTCCTCAGCGCAAGGCTGGCGCTGCAGGCGCGCGGCTCCGAGCGGATCGCAGGGATTGGCTTTTCCTCCTTTGGAATCTCTTTATTAAAGCAGGGCTTCGCTGACAGGCTGCAGCCCGTGTCCCCTGGTCCCGGTGTCCCTGCATGCGGATGTGCTGTGGGGCTCTCTGTCCCATCCCATCCCGTCCTGTCCCATCCCATCCCTCTGCATCCCTCCTCCGGCAGCTCCAGGACACGCAAGCGTTGAGCAAGCGCATCTATATATGCTTTAATTAATTTAAATGAACCCTGATTCATTACTACCGCATAAAGACCGTCCAACACAAGTTCTCTGCCCCCCACTGACCACAGTGGGTCCCCTAAACCCAACTTCCCGATCATTTCTAGTGACAAATTCCTAGCGCGTGCATGCAGGCTGCTGTCTCGCTCCCATTTATCACATCTGGCTGATATCATCATGAAAAAATCCACTAGGATAACCAGGGGCAGGCGGAACAGCACAAAATGAGGAGTTCCCCTGGTATTTTGCTCGCAAGGTTCCTCCTCGTGTGTTTATTTATGGGACTTTAGCAACTGATGCAGCCTCGCAGCTGAAACCATTCAGAGAGGCCAAGAGGAGGGAGGGCCGCGGGCCAAGCGCGGCTCCTGCGAGCGGTCGCTTGGAGGGGGCCCAAGCTTTGACCATCTGATTTCAAAGCGACTTTTTTATAGTTCCTCAGCCGTTCCTGACGCTGTCGTCGGGTTACAGAGGGGCCGGAGAGTTTTCGGCAGCTGCTCCGGGCGCCGCGGGACTCGCGGGCTGCTCCTCGCGGGAACGTTCCGCACGGGAACCACGATTCCATAGGAAAACCGCTCCATTTAGTTACCGTCGCTTTAGGGATGTCTAATCCCACCGAAGCCAACTTAATGCTTCCTCTAGGGCTGCAAGGGAGAAAATAAAATCCCCAATGCTATGAAGCACCCATTACACAGCGAGCGCTGCCTACTGTGTTTCCATTTCCTACACAAGAAACGCAGAAAAAGTGAGACCCAACTTTGCCCCTTTTCTGGCTGCGCTTTCCAGTCTTTTAGTAAACTACTGGTGAAAAAAAAAGAAACAAAAAACTTTGCCCCTGCTTATGATTAATACGTTTACAGAGGATTTTCAAACATGTTTTGAATAGAGACGCGCTTGGCAAACGTGGTGTTTAGTTACTGTAGCTAAAGCAGGGACCAGCCAAGGGTGTAAGGGCTTGCAGATGGTAAAGCTCCAGTTAATTGGAAACTGGGACATGGAATTGCTATAAAGCTCCAGCCCCCCGAATCCTGTTTTCTGACTCATAAGAGCAGGAGAGAAATTGTTAAAGGATGCAAGGGGTGCAAAACACTGCAAAGCCTTTATAGAGGCTTGTGATTTGGGGGAAGTTTTAGGAAGTCACGTTGCGACTAGAGAAGCTGATTTCTTGGAGTTGCTCATCTGCAGTTATCAAGGATTTGATGTCAGCCCCAAATTCAGCATTAAAACAATCTATTAATATTTCATCCTTTTTCTTTTCCCCAGCAGAAGCCAGGCTTGTCACAGGTCACTGTGAAGCAAAACTGGCCAGGGAAACACGGATGAGCTAAGAGAAGCGACCTCAGATCTGTGTTTACCCTTCAATTTCAGCTTTTGTCGCTGCTGCTGGGGAGCCTGTTTGATTTACAAGAGCCTCCTTGTCTGTACACAAGAGACAGATGGCCCTGGCAGCGCCTACTCCAAAGCGCCGAATGATCCCTGAAGTCCTTAATTCCTGCGTATCTGCGGGAACGCGCCGGCATCGCGGGACCCGCCAGGAACAACAGTCTGTTCCGCTGTGCGTCGCTCGCCGTATGGAAGGGACGTCGCGAAGCAAATCCTGCTTCGATCCGTGTTTTGCTGTGTTTTTTCCCAGCTGGGTCTGTGGTTGATCTGTCGGGAGCGACACGTTTCTCCGAGGTGAATCCTCACGTGTCTCTGGCAGCGTCTGCGACGTGGCACAAGTGGGGATGGCAGCAGGTCTCCACCAAAGTCCTTGTCCCATCCATCGCCAAGGGCTTTGTGGCACTGAGCCTCGACAGTCTGGAGAGTGTTGGACCAGACCTGGCACCTGAAACCTCCAGGATGACTTTTTTCCCATGCTTTGGACTAAGCGGTTGTTCTCCTGAGAGCATCTCTAGGTGACCCTGCGTGTGCAGGGGGTTGGACTAGATGATCTCTAGAGGTCCCTTCCAACCTTGAGCATTCTGTGATTCTGTGATCTTTATTTCACTTGAAGCACAGACAACATTAGGAGGAATCCTCTGTGTAACGCTGATCCAGCTGCCCTAAATTAGGAAACGTGTTTCGAAGGGGAATATTTGCGCACTGGATCACCACTGTCTGAAACCAGTGACTCCAAAGTTACAGCCCAGCACGTCTATGTGACAATTCCTACGAAAACGAGACCTCAAAATCCCCTTCTCCCTCACTGCAGAGTTCAGATGACAATTTTTGGTGGGATGGGGGTGGAATTACATCTGTGGACTGTGTTCCGCGGCTCCAGGGCGCGCAGGCAGGGATCAATGGACTTGTCCTGAACACAGATTACTTCAAGGTAGAGTTTTGCAGCACAGACTAATGGCAAAATCCATGGAGCTCGGGAACGCTGCACGTGCCCACGTCCCCCTCGCACGCGTCCGCGGAGCCCGCCTGCATTCAGAACATTTTATTATGGATTCTTCAGCTGGCCACTGTTTAAATATTTATTTGGGCCAACGCCAAGCTCTCTGCTTGCGTCCCCGGGCCGAGCAGCCTCCCGAGAGGCCCCAGGAGCGGGTGCCGGGGCGCAAACGGTGCCGCTGCCGTCGGAGCGCGAGCAGGAATCCTCGGAGCCTCCCGGGGGGAAGGGGAGGCAGAGAGCGGCCACCCTCGGGAAAAGCTCCATTGGAAAGACCTTGTTGTTGACC